TCAGACGTCGTGACTGTAGGTGGGATCTTTGATTAAAAACTTATTATTATATTATTATTATAATTATTATATTAATTATAAATCACAAACAACACAAAGTTACATGTAAACATTATTATCTCGCGTAATTTAGCTCTACTATCTGTTCAGCTGCTATTTTGTGGATTATTTTTACGTTGCTTTTTATAATTTCCTTTTTAAAGTAGTGGTTAATTACATTATAGTTAAGACAATAACATTGTTGAAAACGACAGAGGAGATTCGCAACAGAGCGCTGATATTCACACACACACACACACATACGCATGACACCTGTACAGCTGTCTTATTGTATGGGCAAACACAAACATGATTATTCTGAATGAACAACACCGACTCACGCATATAATAATAATAAACAGCCTGTAAAGCCATGGTTGTGTATGTGTGCGTGTGTATGTGTGTGTGTGAGGTGTTGCAGAGGTCTGGTAGGCGCAGTCTCTCCATCTGGAAACAAACACACGCTCCTGGTAAGAGCCTCGCAGAACAACAGTCACACAAACCTGCGTCTTCGTGGTCAGCTGTATCACCGCCTTCCTGAAATTGAGCTTTGAGTCGGAATTCCCCATTTTCTGCTGTTATGATGGTTTATTGATGAGGCGCTGCTGTAATCCCGTCTCCTCCTCCTCTGCGTGTGTCATTCGCGGAGGCGGCGGTGCTGCGCTAAAGCCGCAAACTTCCGGGATGACTTTAACATTCCTACTATGGGCAAGGAGAAGCTCATGAATATTAACGAGGCGATGCCGTAAAACCAATAGGCGTCGCTGATTGGCTAAACGCCACCCCGAGTTTTAGACAGCCAGTAGTAAATGAGCCACTAATGGATCTTTAATATTACTTATGTTACGTAACTGGACGCAGAACAAGGGTTACCAAGCAACGCATGTCGGCTCTAATTAATATTCATAAGTGCGAATATCCCATAGTAGGATTCGTACATTCCAAACACACTAGGCAGTGCAGTTGCCAGGGAAAGACTGTTTATCAAATACTTCATTGAATCATTTAGCTTTCACGGGCATATCGACTCATTTTGCAGTTATTTATTTATTTAACTATACTTAATATATAACTAATGTAAAAGCATTTCCATAATAAAATCCAAGCAACATAAATTCGACTGGTGTAAAATGTAGCTTTCGGGTTACGCAGTTATTTAGCATATTCACCATTACAAAAACAACAACAGGAAAACTGCTCTTATATATGATCAGGTAACTGATTCATTCATTCATTCATTCATTCATTCATTCTTTTCGGCTTAGTCCCTTTATTAATCTGGGGTCTCCACAGCGGAATGAACCGCCAACTTATCGAGCATCTGTTTTACGCAGCGGATGCCCTTCCAGCTGCAACCCATCTCTGGGAAACATTTATACACACTCATTCACACTCATACACTTCGGACAATTTAGCCTAACCAATTCACCTCTAAAGCAGGTCTTTGGACAGTGGGGGAAACCGGAGCACCTGGAGGAAACCCACGCGAACGCGGAGAGGACATCCAAGCACAGAAATGCCAGCTGGCCGAGGCTCAAACCAGCGACCTTCTTGCTGTGAGGCGACAGCACTACTTTCTGCGCCACTGCGTTGCCCCAGATAACTGATATATAACATATTCATCCATTCATTTTCCTTCAGGTTAGTCCCTTTATGCATTAGGGGTCACCACGGCGGAATGAACCACCAACGTATCCAGCATGTTTAGTTTATTCAATTCACTTATACCACATGTCTTTGTACTGAGGGAGGAAACCGGAGCATTCAGAGGAAACTCACGCGAACACGGATCCCATGGCACTTCTCGTGAAGGAGCAGGGGTGTAACCCCGGTGTCCTGGCCAAAGTCCCTCTATCGGCCCTTACGATCATGACCTCCCGATCATCCCCTTCCACCGAATTGGCTCTATCACTGTCTCTCTACTCCACCAATAGCTGGTGTGTGGTGGTGAGCGCACTGGCGCTGTTGTCCTGTGGCTGCCGTCGCGTCATCCAAGTGGATGCTGCACACTGGCGGTGGTGTGGAGAGTCCCCCCCTCCACATGATTGTGAAGCGCTTTGGGTGTATGACCATACACAAAAATTGCGCTATATAAATACACATTACATTACACGGAGAGAACATGCAAACTCTACACAAAATATGCCAGTTGACCCAGGGCGGGACTTGAACCTGCGACCTTCTTGCTGTGAGGCGACAGTGCTAACCACTAAACCACCGTGTCGCCCGATATATGACATATTTATGATATAAATCTACAATGATAATTGGAAATAATACAAACATCACCTTTTGAAAGCTGTTAACCTAGTTTCAGTCACTGACTTCGAAAAAGAGCAAATCCGATTGAAAAGTAGCTGGGTGATGTTTAATTAGCATATTGGTTACGTCAACATTGCATTTGTTTCTTATTTATTTAGTCTGTTTCTCATTTATGTCCAGATTCCCCTTATGTCCCCTTCCCCTTAACTATTTTCTTCTTCTTCTAATGATAACAATAATAATAATAATAATAATAATAATAATAATAGGGGTGGTGCTTTGCCACTGTGGCTAGCACGATCGCCTCACAGCAAGAGGGTTGCTGGTTCGAGCCCCGGCTGCGTCAGTTGGCATTTCTGTGTGGAGTTTGCATGTTCTCCCCGTTTTCGTATGGGTTTCCTACAGGTGCTCCAGTTTCCCCCACAAGTCCAAAGACATGCGGTACAGGTGAGCTGAATAAGCTAAAATGGCTGAATAGTATGACTGTGAATGCAAGAGTGTATGGATGTTTCCCAGAGATGGGTTGCGGCTGAAAGGGCATCCGCTGCGTGAAACATGTGCTGGATAAGTTGGCGGTTCATTCCGCTGTGGCGGCCCCAGATAATTAAAGGGACTAAGCCAAAATGAAAATGAATGAATAATAATAACAATAATAATAATAAACAATAATAATAATAATAAACAATAATAAAATCATGTTTTGAGTTTATAGACTTGCAGTCACTTACAATTCTGCTCTGCACTGCTTAAATCCATCTGAAAAAATCAAGCATGTTGCAGTAAAAAGTGTTTATTGTTTAGCAACAATTTTAATAGTTAATAATAATAATAATAATGATAATAATAATAATTATTATTATTATTATTATTATTAGTAGTAGTAGTAGTAGTATATTCATAATATATACATTATTATTATTATTATTATTATTATTATTATTATTATTACTATTATTGTTATAAAAAATTATGCAACTGGAATTTAAATGAAGTTGCTAGTAACCACTGACAGATGTTTTTGTTCACTTTAGGCCATTATATCAATATACAAAATAACAATGTTTCAGTATATTTGTAAAATTATTTCTTAATACACGATCATTACACGAATTTGGCCCTTAACTGATGAAAAGCCTGTTAAAAGCCGGGCGTGAGCTTTTGCAAGTCACCAGTGACGCCATTACACAATCAGCCAATCCCTTGTCGCCCTCGTGTTTACGGCTCCATTTCCGCGCATGCGCTCTAACATGTAAATAACAGCAGACGCGGTGGTTTGTTTTGTGTCGCACAGCCTCATCAAACACGATAAACCGGCATATATTGACAGAGAGCCCCGCTATATCTCCTACGTTTAGGAGAAGACGACAAGAAGAAGAATCTAGCAGTACATTCGTATAAATAAATCGTGATTTTGAAGCTGTTTGAGTGTCAGTTAGCATACAGCTATGATAGAGACTAGCTGGAGGAGTTTGACACGTTTATGACGTAAATGCAGTTGATCAGACACGATCTTCGTTTAGTTTCTCACAACTCTTTAATAATTTAGTGATTGGTAATTTAGTGTTGAACAGGGATGAGAGTGTTTCGCGTGTTTATGTGTCGTTAGCAGAAGTGAGCTGAGAGGAAGGTTAGCATGACACAGCACTGAATCCAGGAGCGAATGTTGCTCAGTAAAACACACAAACACACGGGAGCTTCATCAGTATCTGCTGGGGGATCCGCAGACATGCTAACAGAGAACAGGTGAGTCGGAGACCGCTTCGTCAGAATCACACACTGTCTTGTAAACGCTTGTTTTAGTTGTCCACTACCGGTCAATAATTGTTTTTCACATGAAAAGTCATTTCATGTTAAAAAAAATAATAATGATCTGCTTATTAAGCCTGGTAAAGTTAGTTTTATATTGACACATTCAGACTTTCTTCATAATAATATAATTTTAGAAAAGTATTCTTTGCAAATTCTAATCAGTACAATCATATTAGCAGCCAATTATATGGTTTAGTTTAGTTTTGTTTATTTATATAGCACATTTTTTAAAACACAACGTTGCCCAAAGTGCTGAACACAATCAATACTAAAAAATAAAATCTAACGTTACATCACATAAATAACAATTAAAACATAAGGCAAACCCCTCAACATTAAAAAGGCTCAAATATCAAAGAACAAAGATGGTGTTTCAAACGCTTTTTAAAAACAGGTCGAGTTGGAGCATGTCTGATGTGGGGCGGAAGCCCGTTCCAGAGTTTTGGGGCGACAACAGCAAAAGCCCGATCCCCACTTCGCTTACACCGGGACCTTGGTATAGATAGAATAAATTCATCAGAAGACCTCAGTGACCTACCAGGATTGTATACATGTAGCAGGTCTGATAAGTAAGATGGTGCCAGATTGTTTAAGGATTTAAAAACAAAGATTAATAGTTTAAAATCAATCCTTGACCTAACAGGCAGCCAGTCCAGAGAGGAAAGAACTGGGGATATGTGCTCGAACTTGCGAGTCCCTGTCAGAAGTCTCGCAGCCGCATTTTGTACTAATTGCAATCTTTTTAGGGCATTTTGACTAATACCCACATACAGAAAATTGCAATGGTCAAGTCTTCCCAAAATAAAAGCATGGATCATACAGAGGTAAAGTTGGTTTTATATTCGCACATTCGTTCATTTAGCAGTCTCTATATTGTTTACCATGTTACTTTGAACATTCAATCAGAATTAGCATGCAAGTATGACTTGACAACAAAAACACTGTTTATTTGACTGTGAACAATGTTTTACTTTGAAAGTCACTGGCTGCTAAAATGATTTCCCTATTTAGAATTAGCAAAGAATACTTTTCTGAAATTATATTATTAAGAAGAATGTCTGAATATCTGAATATAAAACCGACTTTACCTCTATGCCAATGACTAGCAACTTTGTTTTTTAGTCAAATAAATAGCTCTAATGTTGTTTTCAAGTCTGAATATATTGATTTCAGATTGAATATTCAAAGTACCATGGAAAACAATATAGGGAGGATGTCACAAGTTGACACTGAACGAATATATATAAATATAAAACCAACTTCACCTCAATGTCGGTGACCGCTTCATCAGAGCCACACGCTGTCTTGTAAACAACAGTTTTACTTCTCCACCACCGGTCAAACCTCTTTCAATATTTTTCAAAGAAAAAAAAAAATCCTCTGCTAATTAAGCCTGTCAAGATATCTTTTGTTGTACGATATATTGCACCAAAATATATTGCGATAAATGATATTTTTGTCATTTTAAGACAGTTTTATGCTGCTCATTATATAACGTCAGAATGACAATATAATAGCATTATCATAATACAAGAACACATAATATTTATTCTTAAGAATATCTATTTTTTAATCATACTTATTTTAACAATTTAATAATTAGGTATTGGAATCAGAA